CAGAGCCTGGAGCCTGCTTCAGATTCTGTGTCCCCTTCTCTCGCTGCCCCACCCCTGCTTGTGCGCTCTCTCTGTCTTTCAAAAATGAATAAACATAAAAAAAAACTTTTTTAAAGACTTTTTGGGGGTGCCTGGCTGCCTCAGTCGGTGGAGCGTGCAACTCTTGGTCTCGGGGTTGTGAGTTCAGGCCCCACCTTGAGTGTAGAGATTACTGAAATAACTAAATAAACTTAAAAAACAATGTGTGTGTGGTAAGAACAGATACCCTGAGATCCGTTTACCCTCTTAACATATTTTTTAGTGGACAGATCCGTGTTGGTAACTATATGCACAGTGTCGTACGACAGGTCTCTAGAATTTATTAAGAGACATTTTAAAAACAACCAGTCGGTATCCATCAGAAACGTCACGGCCCGAAAGACAAAGGCGGTGTAGCTAGCCTAAGAGACGAAAGAGACAACGAGGGCTGAATGTAATGTGTGACCCAGTTGGATCCTGGATTTGGCTGGGGAGAAGAAATTACTCCAATAGATATTATGGGGACAAGTTTGACTCTGACTGTGTATTAGATAATGGCATTGTGTCAATGTTACATTTCCTGGACTCTGTAATTGGATTGTGGTTATGTAAGAGAATGTCCTTGTTCTTAGGAAATGCACACTTAAGTATTTAGGGATACTGAGGGATAACGTTTAAGTTAATTACATTTAAGCAACCACATCGCAAGTGCCCTCTAGCATGTGGTCAGCGGCTACCATATTCTCCTAAAACGTTCTATATCTGCAGTGACCAATAATACAGTAGCCACTGACCACATGTCAGTAAACACTTGGAATGTGATTATTTAAATGTAACTAACTTGAAATTAAGTAGCCACATGTGGTTAGTGTCTACAGCATTGGACAGTGCACACAGAGAACACTTCTGTCATCCCAGAAAATTCTTTTGGTCGGTGCTGGTCTATAACTTACCGTCAAGTGGCTCAGCATTGTAATCACATACACGTATATTTAGAGACAAAGCAGATGTGGTGAAATGTTTTTCGGTGAATCTAAATGAAGGTGTTTATTGTACTTGGCTTTCAAACGGTCTGTAAGTTTGAAGTATCTTTAAAAGTAAAATTTAAGGGGCGCCTGGGTGGCTTGGTCGGTTAAGCGTCCGACTTCGGCTCAGGTCATGATCTCACGGTCCGTGAGTTCGAGCCCCGCGTCGGGCTCTGTGCTGACAGCTCGGAGCCTGGAGCCTGTTTCAGATTCTGTGTCTCCCTCTCTCTCTGCGCCTCCCCTGTTCATGCTCTGTCTCTCTCTGTCTCAAAAATAAATAAACGTTAAAAAAAAATTAAAAAATTAAATAAAAGTAAAATTTAAAAATACTCTCGGGGGCACCTGGGCGGCTCCGTCGGTTAAGCGTCCCAACTCTTGATTTCGGCTCAGGTCATGATGTCATGTTGGGTTCGTGAGATTGAACCCCACACGGGGCTCTGCGCTGACAGCACGGAGCCCGCTTAGGATTCTCCCTCTGCCTCTCTCTCTGCTCCTCCCCCGCCCACCCTCTGGATCTCTCTCTTTCAAAATAAAATACATTTATAAAAAAAACTTTTAAAATAATATAAATAGATAAATAAACAAAAACACTCTTGCCTTTGGAGTCAGACAGTCCTAAATTCCAGGTCTGACTTTGCCATTGTATGGCCTTGAGCAAGTTATGTAACACATCTGAACCTCCGTTTTCTTATCTGTAGAATGGAGCTAATGTTGGAGGATTAGAAGGATGCATTAGATAGTACTTAAAAATGCTTTGCACATAGCGAACCATAGTGAGGCGGAGCCCGTGGTACCCTTGGCTTGCGGCTCCCTGCTGTGTCCCGTGTATCTGTCCACAGTAAGGTCGGTCACCTGTTCCCGTCTGCCTCTGAGCTGGCCTCCGTGTTATACCTGGCCCTCTCTCCTCAGTCCCTAGATGACAAGGAGCTCCAGCTGCTGGGGCGGACACACTCGGCCAGCGATGCGCTTCAGACACTGGCAGAGGCCCGACGTCTCTTTCCCGGACGTGTATCTGTGGACCTGATGTTGGGGCTTCCGGCACAGAAGTCGGGGCCGTGGCTCCGGCAGCTGCAGGAACTGCTGGGCTACTGTGACGACCACATCTCCCTCTACCAGCTGACCCTGGAGCGGGGCACCGCACTCTTCACCCAGGTGCAGCGGGGCACCCTTCCCGCCCCTGACCCCGAGGTGGCTGCTGAGATGTATCAGGAGGGACGGGCGTTGCTCCGGGAGGCAGGCTTCCGCCAGTATGAGGTCTCCAACTTCGCCCGCAATGTGAGTCTTGGGCTGCTGGCTGAAGTTGGGGGATGGGCAGCCTAAGCCGGGAGTGGAGAATTGTGGGGTGGGAGGTTGCTGCCGGGTGCTCTCGAGGCCTGAGACAGGGGACATTCTAGCCAGGTGCCCCTTACCTGAGCAGATGCGGGCCCACCTTCTTCTCGCTGAGCGGGCTATTCCCTCCTTCCCCACAGGGGGCGCTTAGTACCCACAATTGGACTTACTGGCAGTGCGGTCAGTACCTTGGCGTTGGGCCCGGTGAGTCCCCCGAGAACCATAGAAGGGATGACTCAGGAGCAGAATGTCACGGCTGTGTGATCTCGGGCCACTTATTAACCTCTCAAAGCCTCTGTTTCTTTATATGTGAAGTGCAGCAAAAAATAATACTTTGTAGAGCTAATGAATATGTATTTTGAGATGCTTGAAATCGTGGCTGTGGCACTGTAGTGCTCACTCGTTAGTGTGTATCAGAATTAAAACTCGGATTGCTGAGCCCCGCATCCAGAGTTTGGTGGAGCAGGGTGGGTTGGGGTAGGGCCCAAGAATTTACGTTTCCAGCATATTAGAGGCTAATTGTCCAGGGACCGCATTTTGAGAGCCACCGAGTTAACGTCTGGCGAGCACACACAGCATTAAGCTGCCACTAAAGGTTGCTGATGTCGTCAGGGGCCCACGGGCGATTTGTGCCCCAGGGGGCCGGGGGCAACACCCGGGAGGCTCGGATCCAGACCCTGGAGCCCGACAACTGGATGAAAGAGGTGACGCTGTTTGGCCACGGCACCCGGAAGCGCGTTCCCTTGGGCGAGCTGGAGCTGTGAGCATCTGAGAGCACAGGGCTGTTCACCCCGGCTTTGCCTGCACCCCCAGAGCCATCCCTACCAGCACAACTTAATTTCCTGCCTTGCCTTGCCCCCTCCCTCCCCGTCCTGCATGGCCTCACGAGCCCCCATACACACATCCCAGCATAGGGTTTGAAGAATGGGGGTGCGGCCAGGTCTCCTCTCCAAGACACCTTGATGGTTTTTCTCCCAGGCTAGAGGAAGTTTTGGCCATGGGGCTACGTACAGACGTGGGGATCACTCACCAGGTAAGGGTTGGGGGGCTGTGGCACATCACTTCCTTCTCCTGGGTCTTTTGGAATCACTGTCTCTTCTGTACTCACACATAGACACACATACGCACATCTGTTCCTCTGGGGCTGGCAGCTGGAGGTTGGCCTTGGCCCAGCCGAGCCCTGATGGGCAGAAGCGGTGGGCAGTGTGGGGCAGTGGTGAGAACCCTGGACGAGGGCTGCAGGCACCCCCACCCCCACCCCAGCTCTAGGTGTGCGTGAGTCCGTTGCAGAGACCCCTGTGCGGACGGGACCCTCCCTTGCCCTTCACCACACCCCCAGACGTGTGCCCAGACTAGCCAGCCACCCACCCTGCGGTCCCTGTCCCTCTCACCCTTCCGGTTTCCCAGCACTGGCAGCGTTTTGCATCCCAGCTGAGCCTATGGGACGTGTTTGGATCAAGCCCGGAGGTGAAGGCCTTGCTGGTACAGGGCCTGTTGCTGCTGGATCACGGGTGTGTTGGGGGGGGGGGGGTGTCAGGAGTCCCCGGGAGCCCTGAGTACAGATCCACAGCCCCAGGAAAAACGCAAAAGACCCATGAGGAGGGGCCTGTGGGGGCTGGGGGGTTCGTACCGGTGGATGGTAAAGATTGAAGTTGGTAAACTGAGGCAGTCACATCCAGGCTTCTTGGTTTTCCAGGGGTCTTCGGTGTTCCTGGGAGGGTCTGGCTGTACTAGACTCTCTGTTGCTGACCCTCCTGCCCCGACTCCAAGAGGCCTGGCTGCAGAGAGCCCCCTCCCCTGGGCAAGGGGGATGACCAGATGTTTCTGTGATCCCAGGACAGTGCCAGGTGGGCTCTGGGGGCCGGACTGACGCTCTCCACTGGCAGGTGCCATCCCAGCTCCAGTCAGTGCCCTTCCTTGGTATCCCCAGGGGGTATGGCTACCATGAGGCGCGTGAGAGGACATTGCTGGTTTGCAAACTGGCACTGAGTTTGCCTTCCGCTGCCAGAGAAGGAGTAATGGTTTCTGCAAGTGCCTCTCACTAGTGGGCTCCAAAGGAAATCCTGGCTGGCAGAAGATTCTGAGAAATCTAGCTCTCAGGCTTCTAGCCCCTCCAACATAGGGCAGGACTTAGAGGGCCCGACCTGTGCGGCTGGACCCGTGCCCATATCCAGTACAGCCACCTGCTGGACTCTGAGGACAGTGGGAAAGATCAGAGCAAGCCTTACCCTTTCTCTTTCGGCAACCGGGTTATGTCTGGGGTCCCAGAGCCACACAGACCCTCCTGCGTCCCCGGCTCCCCTCCCCTCCCCTTCTCTCACGAGAGTGAAGGTGTGAAGGTCGCAGGGAGCTAAGCAGGGAAAGGGGAGGGGAAAAGAATTCAGGAAAGACCCAGAGCCTGGTAATTTTCCCCTGGCCTTTTACCTGCACAAACGATTGCCTGGTTTTATTTAAACAGCCCAACAAGCCCAGGGAGGGAGCCCGCCTTGACCTTCGTCAGCTCCTTTTTCTAGGTTCCTTCCCTGGAGAGTAGAATCCTGATTTGGGGGCTCGAGGCTTAGTCTAGAGCCGAGATTCCTTCCCCCACTGTACATTCCATTTTAAAAGATTTCAAACCTACAGGAAAGTTAAAAGGATAGTTCAGTGTAAACTACATAGCCTTCGTTGCAGGGTGCCTGTACAGTCTGGAAAGAGGAAGGATTCATAATGTCATCAAGGACATCTTCAACCTGTAAAAAAATAAAATAGCCATGTTTCCAGACTTTGTGCTCACCCTGTAGAGTTTGCGATTGCTACATTTTGGCCACATTTACTTTACCTTTGAATAGCTAGCTAGCTCTTTCTTTCTTTCTTTCTTTTTCTTTGCTGCACCATTTGAAAGAAGGGTGTAGACATCAAACATTTTAGCTTGTATCTCCTAAGAAAAAGAACATTGTCCAATATAGCCACAGCAATATCACCAACCTAAGAAAGTGTATGTTCGTGCAATACTGTGTGGTCCATTTTCAAATGTTCCCGAATGTCTCCAAAACGTTGTAACTCTCTTTGGAGGCCGGGGGGTGGGGGGGGGGGG